CTTCCTTCCTTTCTTTGGAAGATTCCCTCATCCCTTTTTTCTCTATCAAGATGGAGTAGTAGAAAGCCAAAAAATTTCTTTCCCAAAAAAGCTATAAAAATAATTTCGCAATTGAACCCAGAATAGTAGGAACCTAAGAAAAATCATTTGCTTCTCTTAATATTCTTGAAATTGGACTGTACAGTACAAAACCTCAACTAACTCTAAAGGAGTTCAAGATATTTTAGTACAATTCTGATAATGTGACAGGTGGATGACAATTTCGTGTCAAATATAACTACTGCACTATTTTCAACATATTTCAGAGGTAAACTATTTATGGACTAATCATACTCAACTGATGACCAATAATTGTTAGTCAAGAAACTCAAATCATTCCGAAGGCTCAAGCAATCTAGGGAAGAATAAATTTTCTGATACAATTTGAAATCGTCAGCGAACTGTTACCTTTTTGAGTTTGTTACTTGACTTATAAACTCGTTGATAAAAAAAGTTAAGTAGCAATTCTATGATTGATATCTAATTCATTTCCATAACGAATGTTTGGAATACAAACTGAAAAGAGAAAAGTGTTATTTGTATAATTCAGTGTTCATATAATAGTAATTTCAAAAGAATTTCTTTTCTGTATTCAATTTTTACATGAAAGTAGCTGTTTCGAAAGGGCTTTTTCTTCCAGTTTATGTCTGGAATTTCTTTGAAAGATTACCACATTTTTTTGTACAAAGATGGAGAAGTAGAAAGCCAAAATCCAATTTAATCGAAATTAAACGACCTCATGCATTTATTTTTATGATATTTAGTATGTTATAAAAATATCCCTAGACTTTTCCAATGTGTGTATTTTGAAAACGTTAAAAATCTCCAAATTTGCCGTTTTTTTGGATGACGTATTATTCAAACTTTCAGATGGGTTTTCTATGGTCCTGGAATCATATGGTGAGCAAACGGTGGAGAACCAATCAAGGAGTAGATACGAACTTTCAGCTAAAACTACTCAAAGATTTTCGAGAATTCTGCAACAATTCTGGAAACAGGCTTCGAACTTTCTGGAATGAAAGTTGGGAAACCAAAGATGCAAAGACATTTTCACACAATGACTCCAGATGAAATTTGGTGAATAGTGAACAATGACAACTGTAAATAGTTTAATCTTTGTTAATATGTATATATAATAAATATTTCAAATCAATCCTAATTCATTATAATTGGTGAAAGAGTTAATCTTGAATTTAAGTTCTTATGATATTTAAGGTGAAAGTAAATATATAAGGAAAAACTGAAACAACTGCAAATTGATACTGGAGGCTATAAAAATATGAAAGGGTTATATTTTTAGGAGTGACTAATTTTTTGGGAAAGAAAGTTTTTAGCTTTCTACTACTCCATCTTGATACAGAAAAATGTGGGAAATTATCAGTGTTTCTCCACTATATCATGCATTTTATATACATATAAACCTTCCTCTTGAATCACTCTATATATTAAAAATCAGAATCCGCATCAGACAGCGGGAAGCGACTTTGTTTTATACAATGTAGTCAGTTATTTCTATGTTGTATCTCTATTTTTTTGAATGGATAAAAAATCTTGAAGGAGTTTCCACTACTTTCAAACTGTAGGAGTTTCCACAATAACGTACGTATGTCAGTAGCCTTTTGTGTTCATTAGAACGTAATTATAATATATTATGTTATGCGAAATTTGATTTCGTACGTCATTTTCCAGGAAAATAAGATCTGACGTCTTCATACTGCCGTGGAGCCTGAAACGTATTCAGCATCAACATATTTCACTGATTTGTTTGGATTCTTTCGGGTTTATTGATATAATATGGAAATNNCAAAACTTCAATTAAACAAATAAAATATACATAAGCTGATCTTTTTTTTCTGATCGATTCGTCCGTTACTTAATGAAGATCCTTAGTAATTAATGAACAACTGGATTTGTATAGACCTACATTATTGAACTTTTTTTCTTTCTATTTGGTTTATGTTATAAGAGGCATTTCATAATTTTCTAATTTTAGTTTTACTTTTTTTATACATTACCCTGTTTGACGGCCCCACTAACAGGAATTTGAATTATTGAGGTGTAAAAAAAGAAATGAGAACAACCAGTAATTTATTGCCACACATTAAAACTATAACATTTAGAAAAACTAGGCCTTTGGTTGAGCTGGTGGCCAAGCCCATTGCCCAGCAGGGGCTTCTTTCATCAAAGGTTCCCAAGGTTTCCAAACCAACATTTTACGTGCTAGGATCAGTTCATTTTCGGCTTGTACAATAACTTCTTCTATTTGACCACATCCGATTTGTTTTTCGATTATTTCCAAATTTGATGTTGACTTCAGAATTTGTGACCTTTCGTTGACAATTGCCTCGGTATGCTTTCTGTAAGCAGCACTTTCTGGCATTTTTTGGAGAGTTCTCAAAAGTTTACCATACAAAATCCCAAGGGTGTGATGAGGATTTTGTGCAACGGCCAAACCAGTCAATCCTGTCGTTAACTTTGTAATACCGGCCATACTTATTAGAATGATGCTCAATTTGAATTTACCCTCCGTTCAACTTTTTATTTCGATGATAATTTGATTTGAGTAATGAAACAGATTATTAGACTTATTTATTACATAAAGACATAAACACAAATTGAATATGACATTATTGACACTTGACACTTGATCTGATGACTGATGACATAGAACCAGGGTTCGTGGAAGGGGAAGACCATGGAGTGTGCGACATCTAGGCATTGTAATTCGAACGTCAGGTGTAAGGAAAACTATAAATATTGTCTACATACTTTGGACAGGAGAAAATATTGAAATTATAATGATATTACGGAAATATGATGAATCTGATTAAGAGAAATGAGACGGGTACCTACCTACGTAGGTAGAAATGATAGAACGTTAAACAATGATAATTGTTTGAGAAAGGAATATTTAATAATTAATACTGACAAAAAAGTTTTCTTTGCTTTTTGCGATATATTAATAAATAATATAACACGCACGGATCCATTCTATTTCTCTTGTTTAACAAAACTGTACTAATAGATTTACCATCCCCCTGAACGGTTGCAACTTGCGTAAAAAGGTAGCGAAGGCACCACACTGAAACGTCGAACGTCGTGCCGTTCGACTGCAAACCGCACAACTGCACGTGCATAAAAGAGGCCTAAAAGTCCCTGTTGGAAGACCCTATATATGATGACACGTGTGTTCTATCTATAAAAAATTCATCTGTCTATCAATGATTATTCCTAATGTCAGCAACTAACGTACAGTCTTCATGAAAAAGTACTATGAACCACAAAATTTATCAAAAATGAAGTTCGTTCTGATTTTTTTCTAGATGACAAAGAGAATTTCATACCTAGTGGAGACTTACAAATTTTCCAAAATGATTGGATGGAGGTGGAAGTCAAACCGCCTCTAAATTGGGGCTTAACTACTCCTTCAACCTCTCTCCAAGTCCCGAACAGTCATTTGGATAGGGATCAAGGAATTCCACATTTTCTATGCGAAGACATTGATGCTGAGTATGCTGACTGTGATTTGGATGGTAAGAAATACTGTTTTCTCACAACGGCATTCAAAGTTTACGGGGAGTTATGAACAGTCATTATTTTAGGACCAATGTACCAAAGAATGAGGTTGGAAACAGACGTGTTCGGTAAGAGTGACCGTGTGGAATGGGGACACGCACGTTATCAAACAGTTTTTAGACCGGATCAAGCATACGAGTTGATCGTAGAGTGGTTGACATCCTCAGGCTCTATAATTTTCGAATTGGTGAGTACATTCAATAGTCAATTCAATTAATAAAATTCACCCAAAATCGTATTGCAGCTTTTTGGATGGCATCGCAAAGCCCAGTCATGTGGTTTACAAATGGTTCCGATACCGCATGATCCATTGGCTCTTCCTTATTCTGATAAGTCGGACCCTTTGAGAGGACCTATTTTTGTACCTCTTAACATAATGGATTTGGAACAAGATCATCATTTATTCAAAGGTTAAAGTTTTAATATTCCGTAAAGAAATTGTCAAACTTTTGATCTCTTGGTAGATTTGGTAATTTTATTTTCCACTGAATGTTTAAATACAAGGTACAAAGGAGCATCATACATCATGGGAAACTAATCAATACATGACATAACATGAACAAGAATAACTCTCACACAAGTGAAGCTCACATCAAAAGTAATGCTGACGATACCAATATTTTATTAACAGACGCCAACTTACCGTGTATCAGACCGGAAAACAATTACATAAATAATAGAAAGTAAGTATTTTCAGTTGTAGACCCAGGACCTGCCTAGGAACCTATGCGACTGTATTTCAAGCGGAAATTTACGCTATTGAATTGTGTGCGGAGACATTGGAAGAATCCAACCTCATACACGGGTCGATAAAAATATTTTCGGACATTCAAGCGGCGTTGGAAGCTCTTGGCTGCTACCGAGCAACGTCTAAATTCATGGCAAACTGCCAAATAAGACTCTCCTCTATATAGGAAGACTTAACAGATTGTCTCTGGTCTAGATTCCTGGCCATACTGGCCTGGAAGACATTGAAGCTGCTGACTCCCTTGCAAAGGAGGGTGCTGCAAGCAGCTTCATCGGACCAGAACCTGTCATTGGCATCGATTTAGGCTTTGCCAAACAAACATTGAACACCTGGATAGCAAGAAGATTTGTGGACTTCTGGCAGAATCTTCCAGGATCGGCTCACTCCAAGGCGTTTATTAACCCTTCGAAGCTTGATACCGAACAGTTCTTGGACTACAGTAGGGATGAACTACGATGTCTAACAGGCCTTCTTACAAGTCACTGTCATTTGAATCATCATTGGCAGACTTTCGGACTCTCGGAAGACAGTGTGTGTTGCCTCTGTTTGGAAAATGATGAAACAGCAGAGCACATACTTTGTGCCTGCCCCGCTGGGGACCGTATCAGGTTTTTAGAGTTTGGCAGAGCCGCAATCTTACCATCTGACCTGAAAGACCACTCACCATACGAACTAATCGGCTTCGTTAAGAAGCTGGGTTTATTTGGTCGAGTGTGAATAGGTGTGAGCCACAATGAACCCTTGCGGGTTGCGGTGCAGAGTCGAATATACCCACTCACTTTTGAGTGAGTGAGTGAGTGGGTATCCACTCACTTTTGCTACCCAGCTACCCTGTACCCCACACAGCCCAGTCAAATTCTTTCAGGATTTTCAAGAACCCTCAAACTGAAAATGTATCGTTATATGGGAAGATAACGAAATTTGACAAAATGAGTTCTAAAGCAATTTATCTCAGAACCTCCATCTAGCTTTTGTTAAATAAGGTCTTAGCTTTCCCTAAATGAATGAAAAATTATATTTTCTGGTAGTGCAATATACAGGATTGTATAATAGTTGAGAAATGTATAAAATAGAAAACTATAAGACCAAAATGTGAGAATGACTGAATAAAAAAAGTTATTGAAAAATGTTCATGTTGTATATTTCTTTTCAAGAATTCAGAAGCGATACATACATAGAGAGACTGTTTCTCTTCCAAGAAGCCATTCTACAGCGATTCGGATTTATATCGTGCCAAGTAGAGCCTCCCAATAAGACGAATACTTCGCGAGAACACCAGTACGTTCACGCGACGGGAACTGTTTTTGTGCTGGTTTCGAGCGTCTCGTCCAGATCCAGGAATCGTATAAATTCCAGCACAACGAACCCTGGACGTTATTCAGTACACGCTGACGTCGTTCCCAGTCCACATGAGGCTTACATCACGAGACATGTATCCGGTAAAAATAAAGACGACTACGATAACTCCAGAAAGGTGAGATACGTGTTCCACATTGTTGAAAATTAATAACACAATTAATTTGAAGGATAATTTGGGTTCAAATTCAGTAATTAACAGTATTTATTCATTGGGTACAAAATAATAACTAATTTATCTTGGTTAGAGAAATGATACTCTGAAAGGAATTCGATTTTCAATTATGGAATATCATCAACTCTAGATTGATGATGGCCACTACTTTGGACTGACGAGAGGCCAAATAGCCCAAAACAGGTCTGCAGGCGTGCCCGTTCCTATAATTGAAAATCGATTCCAGCAGTAGTATCGCTAAATGATATGCAGAAAATACTTCTGTAAAGATTCCTGCACTGAAACCTGTTGGATATCATCCAACGCCCTTCGTGGTATTAGCCAGGGGAGTAGTTGTTTTCTGATAGGTGTACTCACCTACAGCGTAGGTGAGTCAAAACTGGCCAAAACAAATTGTTTTTCTAGTTAATTTGTTTATTTAGCACATCACATTAGAAACCTCTAAAATTATCAGTGTTTCTCCACTATATTATACATGTTATATACATATAAACCTTCCTCTTAAATCGCTCTATCTATTAAAAAAAACCACATCAAAATCCGTTGCCTAGTTTTAAAGATATAAGCATACATAGGGATAGACAGTGGGAAGTGACTTTATTTTATACTACAGCTTGAAAATCATGAAAACTGTCTTTTCTAAGTTATTTGTTAAATTGAGGTCCCTTAACCATTTCTCTATTTTTCTCATGTCGCTATTTATATTTATTTTCTGCAAGTGAGAAGTGATCACTCATCAAACCTAATTTTCAGTATTATCAACCAAATAGAAAATTGGGACCAAAACCGAACCTTGTGGGACACCAAAAGTTGAAACTAATAAAAATTATACAATTATTCATCGCTACATATTGATTTCGATTTTGAAAATAATTTTGAAATAGTTTGTAAGAATGACCTCACACTACTGAGTTATATAAAATATCTAGTAAAATTTTATGTTTAACTGAATCAAATGCCTTTTTTATGCATAAAAATATTACAACACCGTTATTACTTACATCCCAACATCTATGTTATATGTTATTTATTGACCTTCTCTATTCATACCCAAGGTGACATGGATCAATGTCAATGCTGAATCAACATCCGGCGATACGCAGTTCTCAAAACGATGACAAAAAGACTCTTTATTTTCTTTGTTATATTTTCATGTTATGTAATTAACTTTTTTCATATAAATACGTCCTGCGTAGCAAAATGAGTTAGTTACACTAGAATTGCATTCAAGCACAAGTTTGTTACTTTCGTATTCNACATACTTCGGACAGGAGAAAATATTGAAATTATAATGATACTACGGAAATATGATGTTGAATCTGATTAAGAAAAATGAGACGAGTACCTACCTACGTAGGTAGAAATGATAGAACGTTAAACAATGATAATTGTTTGAGAAAGGAATATTTAATAATTAATACTGACAAAAAAGTTAACACTATTCACAATGTCTTTTACTGTTCCATTACATAATATTGGAAAATAATTCAAACCATCCAGATCAAATACATACAAAGCCATAAACACGTCCATTAAATATTATATTATCAACATTTTTTGTATTATGGAGATGTTATTTGTTTCAGATACTTGAATGGAAAACTCATTTTGGAAAACTTTCAAATAGTAAATTGAAGTTTATTGATTATGCGAAAATATGTAACTTTCAACTTTGTTTCATTATTTGCTATAAAGTCAATAGGAATTATAATTTTCTCTCTCGAAAACGGTTTTGTGGAGAATGTCAAGATTGAATATGGCAATTACTTAGTAGAGATCCCGTTTTGTCAAAAGTTCACTTCATACACATTCTTATTGACATAATGATGCCTACTTTGTCAGTAGCCATTATGATCAATTGCGCCTGAATAGGAAGCAACGACCAATAGAAATAAAGAGAGAACTCTAGTCATTCTCAAGTAGTTGTGAAGAAATGTTTGCATTTTCAAAAGAAATTTAAAATTACAGTGCTGTTGTAGAAAAAACTCAATCGATCATATATTAGAGGTGTTGTTTTAATAAATAACACCATAAATATCGACTTGACATTCAGATAGTATCGAGCGTTCGTTAAATATATTTCGCACCGTCGACTCTGTGATCACGAGGTATCAATCTGTATCTGCAGATTTTTAAAAATGAACATAACATTTGTAAGATGTTAGTTTGAGGAATGGGAGAGATAGATTGTTGATTTTTTGATAAGGTTTCTATGTAATACGAATGCTATTATATGTGACGTCGTTGCTTATGAAATATAAGTTTTCAAACGATGTTATTGAAATTTAGTCAGAAAAAGTTCACTGCTATTATTATTTGTCACTGAGAATAGTATGCCTTTTTCATTTTACGGCTCAGACTATGGTCCCTAGACATTGACCCTAAATTAAACAGAAGTGTTCTTAGAACAAGTAATAATTTGTTATTTCTACCTTACTTTAGGTAGAAAATAGGCCTTGGTATACCTAAGTGTTGGTTATATAGCTTATGTAAGAATATTTACGTTCAGCATTTCAAGTGACTTGTACTGTGGCCTATTTGTCATTCTGTGTATGTGGTTCTGCGGTTTGGTGCTGTCAATATTGTCCAGATAATTGACATTGACATTGTCAAACACAAGTAGCAATTGACAAAATTGTGTTAAAGTTTCGCAATTTGGAAAAACCTATTTCAAAATAAAGATATTATAAAATTATAATTGAAAATGGGTTCCAGCACCAAGAAAAAAGATAAGGAGTCCCGTAAGCGTCGTCGCGAAGAGTCGCATGATAGCACAAGGGATAAGAGACATAAACACAAGAAGCATCATCATAAAGAAAAGAAACATAAGTCTTCTAAACATGTTTATGAAACCGAGGAAAATTCGTCCAGAAGACGTTATGAACCAGAGGAAAAATCTTCGAAATATAATTACGAGTCTGATGGTAAGGAATAATGTAATTTTCTATTAATTCCAAAATTTTCAAATCTTAGGAACACTAGGTGTTTTACAGGGAAAACTCATATCTATGAAATTAAAGCAAGAAGAAATGAAAGTATAACAGAAAGAAATACTAGTTTGAATCAAAATTCCAATATAGTTCACGTAGTCTGGCAACGTATTTTATACTGTAGCGCATCTTAAATAATTGGGGGCCACTGCCTTTTTTTGAGCATACCTGCATTCATATTGTGTCGAGACCACAAGAAATGTGTGGATGGTATGCATGGTGATTTCAATACGGTTCATCACCCATTGCTATTACTAACCCTTTGTGCTGATGATACGTCCTCTATTATACAGGAAATGAGTGATGAACAGCTTTTGAAAAATTTCACATATTGCATTAGTCAAATGAAAACTTGGTGCATTGCGAATGACTCGAAATTGAACCTCTGTAAAACGGATTTGATGTATTTTAGGCTGATTTTGCGAACAAGAGAAATACCAAATTAATCTTTAAAACATAGTGAAAATGTTAAATTCCTTGGCTTGCACCTCGATAACAGATTTACGTGAGACACTCATGTTAAAAAATTGATTAAAGAACTTTCACTATGGAACTATGCGATTTCACAACTGCATAAAAAATCCACTGTGAAAATGTATTATCATGGATGCGTTAATTCCAAGTTAACATATGGATTGTTATGCTGGGGAAATTGTACAAATATCAAACGAGTACTAATTTTCCAGAAACGTATCCTCAGAAGAATGATCAATCTCAAACACACCGACTTGTGTCACTCTGTATTTAATAATGAAAAAATTTTAACTGTCATCAGTCTATATATTATTGAGGCTGCTTGTTATGTAAAGAAACATATAAATGAATTTCCAACCTTCAAAGATGTAAATAAGTATATTACTAGAAACGGGGACCAACTTTACTTACCCACAGCTCATCTAACACAAGTTCATAAAGGACCTTTTATGACATCAATAAAAATCTATAACCTTCCAGTTAATATAAAAAGTCAAATGAAAATAAGCATTATTATTATTAACTCTACTTTTCAGGTTCCGACGTTGTTGAAATTGTCGAAAATGACCAACAGGCTCCACCATCTCCACCTGCTGTGCCACCTCTACCAGCATTGCCACAACACAGCAGTAAAGACATCGAAGCTGCCAGCTCAAGTCAAGGTGCCGAAAGTCTTTCCATTGAAGAAACAAACAAGCTTCGAGCTAAACTAGGTTTAAAGCCTCTTCAGGTGGCTTCTTCGGCAAGTAATTCAAGTACCAATTCGAACAAGAAAGGTAATAATGAGTTGAAAAAAGATGACTTAGGTGAATTTTATCATAAGCCTGCTGAAAACTTACAGTTGAAGGCGCAGCAAGAAAAATTAAGGGCGAAACTCAGTGAGATCAGAGAGAAGAGGCAGCTGAATAATAAATATTCAAAGGTGAAAACTCTCGGAGAAGGCAGTGATGATGAAGATGATATTCTGTCTTGGGTAGATAAAAGTCGAGAGATTGATAAAGCCAAAAAGGACGCAGAGAAAAGAGTAGGTAGTTTTATTTATTTAGGGATAAAATTCTAAACTATTATCCATAGAATAAAAAGTGGGGTATAAAAAAGAAAAGATACTATGTTTCTGTGAGATCAGTCTCCAATATTATTAAACCTCAACTTACACAATCAGATTTACCATATGAATATTTGCTTTGCACATTTCATAAAACCCAACATTACGTCCTTTCAAAGCGAAAACATTGGTCTTTGAGACATTGAAAGAAAGCTGTATGAGTTACTCCATTTTCTAATTACGTTCACATTATTATGAATTAATTTATTTAAGGACTCTAGATTCGAATTATGCTATATTATAGTGGTGTCATCAGCATACAGTGTAAAATGTGCAGATATTTTGACATTTAGCAAATCATTAATGTACACAAAAAAGAAGAGCGGACCCAGTATTGAGCCTTGAGGGACGCCAGTCTTCATATACACCTTTTTCAAAGAGTATTGTTTTTACCATATAGCTTCAGCCTGATAGGAGGAATTACACCATTCAGGGGCAACTCCTCTAATTCCGTAGTGCTGAAGTTTCTGTAAGAGTATTTCGTGACATTGCAAATTATTTCTTCATAGTTGTGTCCTCACTCAATTTGAAGTTTGTTTTTAATAAGAACTGGTATTCATAATTTTTCCAAAATGAAAACCGACCTAACTTCAACTACATTTACTGGTATCAGTGATTTGTTTTGAAAGTATCTAAAATATTTGCGGTACCAATTCCATACTAATGCTACTATGAGTCCTTTTATATGACAGTAAAAGTACTAATTGATACTGAACAGCTCTGTACCAATATCTATTTGAAATGATGAAGGTATTATTTTACTTGTAGGCACGAATGTTGGAAGAACTGGACTCTCAGTTTGGAATTAATGATATAGTTGAGTCAGAGAGGCGTGAGAAAATGAGGTCCGGATATACCGCAAAGCATTTGAAAGGATTGACAGTACAACACGACCTTGACTCTTTTGGTGAAGGAAGGTCAGTAGTACTTACTCTGAAAGATAAAGGTGTCCTGGAAGATGATGAAGACGTTCTAGTCAATGTCAATATGATCGATGATGAAAGATATAAAAAGGTAAGAGATTTTCTGATACTATTTTTAATTAGTCGGAAATTAACACTCACTTTTTACATAAAAATTATACATTAGAAACAAATTCAACTTAACCCAACAATGCTGTATAACTCAAGTAACTACCAGCTCACCTGATTTTGTGTAATAATAACTGATACTTTAACGTCCTATGTTCCTGTAGAGTGACTAAATTCAAAATAGTTGAGATTGTACTATACTCGTAAGTACCCTCACAAAAATCCCAATTTTCACGCAGAGATATGTGAAAATCAATTCTGGACGAATGAATTTAATCTACTCCTATCATCAATGACAGTATGTAATGTCATTCATTCGCTTATTTGATTAAATCCCAGCCATAGGCATCTTGTTTAAATTGAAAGGGGTATATTTTTAGTAGAGATTGGATTTTGGGAGAGAAAAGTTTTGACTTCCAAAAAATGGAAAGATTCCCACATTTTTTGTGTACCGTTCGTAATGAGTAGATGGTAAATTTTAGAAATGAGATGGCAAGCTGTTGAAGAGGTGGACATCCATCTTGCTGGTTATTTATTCTTGTTTGTGGAACACTAAGTTTATATTTGGTTCTGGTTCTACAGTGAGTAGCTCAAGTACTGTCCTTTTCAAATTTTCTGCACTGTAGAAGGTGAATTTTCATTTTTCTCAAAGAATGTTTATTTATTCGTCAATTTCTATTTTGTCCCCCTTGGATATAATACCTTGTGCTAGCTTATGATGCACTGTTTGGAACCTTTGGTGAAGTAATGAATATTACTGGAGTTTTTTCCCAACACCAAATCGTAATTTTTAACCAATCGATCACCAAGTGATCATCTTCAAAGAGGAAGATTAAAACTATAAACTTAGTTTATGGTTTTAGTCTTCTAAACTATAAACTTAGTTTATAGTTTTAAATCTTCCTCTTTGAAGATGATCACTTGGTGATCGAAACACGTGTCGAGGTGTTAAAAATAACGATTTGGTGTTGGGAAAAAACTCCAGTAATATTTATTCCTTGTGCTAGCGTTTTATCTAATCATTTTTTATATTACAATTAAGTTTTGGTAACTGATTTTTATCAAATTGTATTTTGTAAATTTTATAATATGAAATCATGTATGTATATAAAGAGATCCTTATTAAATAAATATCTTATCTTATTCAATTATCCAAACACCTCAATTCAATCAGAGTAATGAGAATATTTTAATAAAGATTACTTGATTTTTTATTTGAAAAACTAGCTTAAACTAAACTTGGCTGAGTTATAAGTTTTATTAATCCGGCTCAAAGGACCAATATAACGAACTTGAATATACTTTGCAATGATAGTTTCAGTTTTCAAGGGGGTTAGCAAAATCCAAATTTTTATTTTTCAACTTGAAATGTCTTTTTTAATATTTTTATTGCAATGGGATTTTCAAGTCAATAAATTAATTTTATCTTATGAAGAATTCATGTATCTTTGCAGGAGATATCCCAACTTATGGAAAATCTGGCAACAGAGAAGAGGCTGATGAGCTTATGGAGGACTACGAAAAAGACACTATTATTATAAATTATCCACAGCTAAATATACTAAAATTCCACAATAGTAGGCACTGAATTCTCAGAAATATTATTGCATTAAAACGAAAACATTGTTATCAGGTTGTGTTTCTATATATTTTATCATTCTATATATTTTATTCTATGAAAAAGAGGACATTGGCAGATCAAGATCTTCAAATAATGTTGTGCTACAGGTTTTTGTGCAGCTGAAAAAGTAAATGTGCCAATTAATGTTTGCTGTTTCATAATTTGTATTACTTTTTTTTATATATTAACAAATTCAATAAGTTTATCAGATGATAAAATATATCTAGAATCACAACCTGTCAACAATGTTTTCGTTTTAATGCAATAACATTTCTGAGAATGTAGTGCCTACTATTATGGAATTTTAGAATAGATAATGACATCTATTTACAATGGAAAGCTCAGTTGTAAACGTTAGATGAAAATAGATCCAAATTTGTGATAACTCTGCAATATCCTTCCGGAATCATTATGTTCTGTAGGAATTAAAAAGTCCTTTCTATTTTCCTAAAGGACTACAAATATCCCAGGTCAAAACTCAATACAAAATAAATTAGTGTTTAATATTGAATTAAAAGGGTTTTTTTATGAGAGATTCATTTTTGGCAAAAAAAGGTTTTGGCTCTACTTCTCCATCTTATACAAAAAATTTGGGAATCTTCCAAAAAAAGAAAGAGAAAACGTTTCTTTCCCAAAAACTGATCTCTCCTAAAATTATTTCCCAGATTGATGACATGAGTAACTCATTCGTGACATATTATGAATTGATAATAATAATAATATATTTATTCGTCTTGAAAAACACAAGGTTTATAGGCATGTCAAAACAAATGGCGCAATTGAAATCAGGCTACATATATCTTAAGATTCGACAATCAACGATGGTCGTAAGTTGAGAAGTAAAAAATACGAATACATACTCATTAAAATAAATTGACACATCTGAAATTAGATTACAAACATGTTGCAATTCGATAATTAGATGTTCAGTACAAACATATGATTTACATTTCAATTCTTATTTATTTATTTATATACACGGGCAAGCCCAATTCGGATATAAGTAGTACAGTATGTAGTACTTGATGCAATACAGTGGATAGAAAGTAAATTATAAGAATAATACAATTCCGAAGTAAGATAACAAGTAGATTATTTAAGAAAAAATTAAAATGTATAACAATATGAACTAGTATAATTCTTACAGGCAAGTAACATTAGACATAATACAATAACACAAGCAGAGTATTAGGTGGCTGGGTGAAGAATATGGTTTTTAAAGCGGGAAACTGATATATTCAAGATTTGAAGGTTATTTAAAGAGTTAGCCAATCAAAGAGTTCTGGGAATAACGCTGTTATATGAATAATTGAATCTGCGAAAAGAAACGTAAAACGTTTGCACCTGTCTAGTCGAACGACAGGGGAGATGTAAAGATATTTTGGAGGGAAGCTCGGGGCTGATACTCAGTCCGTTGATAATTTTGAATAGAAGTATCAAATCTCTATGTTTTCTGCGAGCCTCAAGAGAAAGTATGTTCAAAATGCATTTCAATGCAGTATAATCATAGTATACACGCATCTTGAAGGCAATATATCGCAGGAAATTGTGCTGTACAGACAGCCTCGAGTTTCACTTTTTGTGTAACGTAATGAAGGGACAAAACTGTGGAACAATAATCGATATGAGATCTAACTAGGGAATAATAAAGAGATTTAATAGCAGTGATGTTGGTGAAATCACGAGTGGTTCTCTTTGTAAAGCCAGTATCTTCATAGATTTTTTAATTATAGCGGAAATGTGTGATTTATAGCTAAGTGTGGAGTCTAAGATTACAACTATATCTTCGGTTTCAATAGCAGAATGTAAGGTCCGATTATTTATACTATCTTCATACTATCTTCTTCTTGGGTGATGTGTTCGATGAAAGCAAAGAATTTGGCATTTGGATGCATTCAAACACATACCATTTTTCGAACACCAGTTAGATAGGCAATCTATATCGTATCAGCTTCACTTCTAATTATTTTAAAACATTTTAAATCGTTGGCAAATAGCAAAGCTTTGCTTTCATGGAAACTGCTGATTAGATCGTTGATAAAAAGGTTAAACAACAATGGTCCCAAGTGTGAACCTTGTGGAATACCCGATGTAACTGCGATGGTATGAGAACGATCAACTCTAACAATTTGTGTTCTTTCCGTAAGATAGCTCTTGAGCCACTGCAATATTTGCCCATCAACACCATATAAACAAAGTTTATGGATCGATAGCTCATGATTAACTTTGTCAAAAGCTCTGGAGAAATCAGTGTACACAGAGTCAACTTGCAAACCCTTAGACAGAGCATCAGACAGAAAACCCAACCTAGGTTTACAAAGGATTTACAGTTAGAAAAACTTCTGTAAGAACTTAAATCTTTTAAATGACAAATTGCGAGAGTCTAGTATTGTATAGCTTAAGGTCAATATTGTCAGTCGCTTCCAGTCTATTTGCTTGCATGACAAGGTCTGATGGTGTATGTCTGTACGAGAGGTATAATTATTAATATTTAGTCAAATATGTAGTAGGTTTTCATAAACAATAACTGAATACAGTGTCATTAGTTTGAGACTTTCAAATATTGGATGGCAAGTTTCATCCCAACTGGCAGAAGTTATATTGAGTGCTTCATCTTGTAATGTTATCCAAATTGGTGCTGAAGAGGCAATAAGGCAAGGATGACAGTGTTCCATGTAAGTCAAATATTACTCCCTTCGTATACTATATTATGTAGCAATGCTATGAATGATATCTGTTTCAATTCCATAACGAATGTTGGATTACAAACTGAATAGCGAAAAGTATTTTTTATACAATTGAATGTTCATATACATAGAAGTAGTTTTTCTGAAAGTATTTTTTCTTTCATGTAATTACGAATTATATGAAAGTAGTTGTTTCGAGAGGGCTTTTTTTCCAGTTCCTGTCTGGAAGTTATTTCTTTGCATGAACTACACATCATTGTATATAGTTTATTTTGAAATGAATTGTTTTCCCATTGTATGATGAAGAAATGTTCAATATTATTGGATTCATTCATGTCAATATCTACTGACCACTGCTCTTATATGAGCTCTTCTTTAGTTATAGAAAATCATTACATTACAATCTACCTGCCTAAGGCACTAGAAAAATGGCGCCGAGATGAGAATGAAGCTATATTCTAAAAATGAAATTTTTTATGCACGTACAACAAAAAAAGGCTAATTATTGTAGTTGACCTTCATAAGCAGAATATGTTATCTTTTATCGCTTTACAACACATTTTCCATTTGAAATGCCAATAAAAATAACTAGTTTGGAAAAATATCACGTTTAAACCATCATATTTGGAATACAGATAGCATTTGTTTAAATATTCAACTTCACAGGTTCTCTATAAATCATAAAGTACAGTTGAATGGTAATTAAATTCAAATGATAGATTTTGAACATGAATTCATTGATAAGACGAGATAAGATATTTATTGACCTTTAAAAATTACAAAAATGTTTATGAGATAAATCCACCAAATAATTGTGTAGGAAATAAATTGTTATAAATATTTCAAAATATTTGAGTCGCCTTCGGTTTTTATTTTGATGGTTTACGATTCTTTTATTAGTTGTCAAATTTGATAGTTATGTTTGAGTTGAATTGTTTTCTGTACTTCAAAAGAAGTTCCGTTTTACCAAAGTTTTTGTGCACAAATTATTACAGCCCAGCTAGCTGCTAATTCTTTCCAACAAAATATTTGTCTAAATATCAAGTACATTAATTATGCCAAGTGAAGGGGGCGTTGAAAATAGATGTGAAAAGTATTAATGGAGATCCATCTTCAACCAAGTAGGCATCATAAGGTGATGACCATAACTATTTTTTTCTATATTCACTCTATTTCATCTGTCAATCTTACTCCATCTCAATATCATTGTGATTACATCTATAACACACACTGTTTTCATTTCTTTATAGTCAACCTATTATTTGTTGTCGCCTAATCTATCAAAACTGTTTAGTTGAAATCTAGCCATTTGGTACCTCTCATTCTTACAAAGGATTCAATATGCCCCAGAGCGTAATGCAATACTGGTGTATCGTCAATACCGTGGGAGTGCCGCAGATGAAGAAATAAAACTCGTATTGCTGCTTAGTGTCGATGGGTATAAGCTGAGGCCACACGTGCTGGATATGTTGAAAAATTGAATAACTAAAATAATTCAATTAGTAACTGTAGCCAGTATGTATCAATGTTTGTGAAGTCGAAAATGAGCACCATAGTCTACAGTTCCACTTATATTTTCTTCCATGAATTTGTCACCACCTCGTTTCAATGTTACAATAACAAAAATAAAAATAAATTAGATGGCGTCCCAACATTGACAGCTGACAAGTATGTCACGACATTCTGCTACGAAATTCGTAGTATGAAGACTACGTAAATTAGGTACGTTCGCAAACGCACTTTTTAAAGATAATAAATAGTTGTTAAGTTCAGAGGGGTAAATAGTAATTTTATAAATCATCATACCATCATATAAGAACTATATACTCCGATCAGAATCACTGTGATCAATGTTTACATCTAGTAATGGAAACTCTCAAAAAGACGTGAAAGAATAGTTAAGACTTTTTTGGTATACTTGACAGTTAATAATATTCACAATTGATAAATCTAGTTATCGTAGCAAATTCTCTTTGATTTTTATATGAAACACATTATTATGACATAAGAGTGGAAATTATATTTTACCTACAAACCTGAAGTATGCATACAGATGGACTAGTGAATTTTGATATCCAAAAAACTACTACCGAACTTTTTGAACAAAGTATACTAATGATTAGATACAAAGTATCTAATGTAGTTCTTCATATACAAATTTTAAAATTTGAAATGAAGTAATCAATTTTATCAGATTTGAATGTTACCTTCGTCATTAGATAATTATATCTGGAGTTTTAGTTGAAAATTTCTCAAATTACAGTCGGATAAAAATGTTTGACTTGTGACAGAAACCTACATAAGTACTTTTTTTTGAAAAATGGTGAAATGTTGAATATCCAGTCCAGTGCGGCTATAGATGTTACACATCAAAAGTGTAGCTTTCAACATCAAATATTACGACCATCTTGGGGAACGTTTTCATTGATGTTCCTAATGAAAAATGAAACATTCTATGTTTTTACCACTTTTATTTGTAACTATTGTTAGTGCGTTATTGTATTAGTTTGAAAATGTCCATATAGGACGAAACTGCAGTAACGATAGTTACAAATGAAAGTAGTAAGGAACATAGATTCATTTCTCATTTTTCTTGATGATCTCCTATCATGTAGTAACGGCTACATCAATCAATTTATTTTCAATTTGAACAGAATTTCCTTCGATTCAAAAAACGAAGTATCAATATTTTAAACAACACCAACTGTACTTTCGCATCCAACCGCGTTGCATTTTTTCAAAGGGACACTTCTTATATGCGTTCTTTTCTCTTCATTAAAGGGGACATAAGTTTCACCACCCACAAAAGATTTTAATTAATTAACCTTTGAGCATCATGCCTAATAGGTGTTAGATTCCATACGATACAATTTCTGTATAACTGACAAATTGACATTTCTTGTCTAAGCAAAGAAAACGCATCTCAAAAGTATAACGATTCATCACAATCACCGGAAAATATACGCAAACTGAAGAAAAGTCATTTGAAACTACCTGAATGATTTTGGGTATTGTTCTGTCGATTCAAAGAATTACCTATTACCAGAGGTTCCATCGCCGTCAACTGAGCTCAGAATGCAGCTTTTTTAGCCCAAGTTTTCAACTTCTCTATTAGCTACTTTTCAGTACCAAAAAATCTAATCTTGGTTGGATTTTATCGTATTTTGCAACAACGTACTCAATTTCTATGACAGACTGAATGTCTTTATATTATTAATCTAAGATGTGAATCGAGATAACTGACCTTTAATAATTATGCTTCAATTCTTTGATTCCTCTTTTCAACTCATTTCAGATGAAAATCCAATAAGACACCGGCAGGTTTTGCATTTTTCAAGACAATGAAATTATTGAATATCTATTTTATGTAAATTGGATGACAACCCATTTTATTTTGAAAACGTACTTCGTATACCTATATCCGTGAGTAGCGGGTTCGGAAATGGTTCACGAGGCTTCTATAATGTGAAGACCAGGAACTTTCCTAATTCTTTTGAAGGAAAATATTTTCGAGAATTTTTTCAATCGAGTGAACATCTTTATTCGTTTTACCTTTCATAATGGATTTCATTTTTTAGGTTTCCTTCCCAACTTTTTCTCTGTTATTATGTTTAGGAAAATATTTTCAAAATTTTTTTAATCGAGTGAACATCTTTATTCGTTTTACCTTTCATAATGGATTTCATTTTTTAGGTTTCCTTCCCAACTTTTTCTCTGTTATTATGTTTATACCTTATTTTAAATAAGGAAAACAGGACTCTAATACAAAAAGTAATTTTTTATTGTTTCTATTTGAGATTTCATATCGCGAGGGTACGTTCAAAAATCCCCATGGAATATGGTCGAAGCTAAAGAACGCCATCTTAAAAAACGCTACGAAGCTTCGAACCGGAAAGCGGACGCGATTGCGAGTATTGAAGTAGGTTTCGTAGCTAGATTTCCTTTGTTTTGTACAGAATATGGCTGCCATATTTAGCTTAGATGTCTGTTTTCAAAAGTGCTGGAAAATATGTGTTGAATATTCCATAACGTTATAGCGAAAAAGTCATGGGTTTGTGGAAGTAGTCAGTGAAACATGTTAGAACTGTAAAATATAATTTTACAATCTGATATAGTAGTAGTTTTGCTGAAAAATGTTAGTGTTTACATCCGATACCAAAAACTTCCTTTTCATTTTTGGCATTTTGGGGTAAGTTTTACAATTTTGATCGTACTATTGCATCTAAAGCTTATAAATTGTTGCTCCGACGAAAGTCACTACCAATTCGTAACTTTACGCTAATAAACCTATTCATTTTAGGGAAGATTATGACTTTTTGACCTAAGTTTGAAGTTCATAATACTAATTTCTTTTATAAAACGAAAACTAATTCAATTTATACCCCTTTTGATATCACTGCATTTCATATCGGCATATTCACCTAATGCAAATGTTATGTTGGGTATATTTTTAGATCAGCTTCCATTTTGAAATGTGTATACTAATAACAAGTCTGCGGTCTGTAGTCTGTTTATTTTCGTTTTCGAATCATCGTAGTTTTCAAAGTAATAATGGTATTTTGCTGTAGTTAGATTGAAACTCTGTCACTTTCTAATATGTTTGGTCTGGTAGCTACTTTTACCCTGAAGGGTCAATAAAACCATAACACCGTTTTTGACATACTATCAACATAGAAGCTTACCCTATTTGGTAGAACGCTTCCAGAAAGACGAAAAAAATTAGAAAATGTCGAGTCCTTCATATTCAATTCTTTGACCTATCCTAAATGGATAGCTAGTTGATTGCTTGTTGTCAAGCAAACGTTTCTATTACGTAGATAGCTTTTTTATAATTTTCTTGGATCAGTTCGTCTTGTCATTGTTTTTCAGATATCAACAATCTATAACAACCTCGAATAATGTTACATAATTGGTTTGCCTGCGCAATATAAATTTATTCCCATAGATCAAGTTGGCTTGGGATATGTAATAAGTAAGATAATTTCCGTGCCAAATCCCGATAAACACAAGAAAATGCCTTCAGCAAAGAAGCCGAAAGACTAAACAGTACTGTTTTGAATCCCGCGAAAAACAATTGCATAGAATATTAAAATTCGCTATTTCATTTTGTATTTATTTGACATTCTCCTTTATCGGGCCCCACAGGCAGTATTCGGAATATGCATATGCGCATGCGCGACCCTGGAAACTCGCGCAGACGTGAAAATGAAAATAAAGGAATGCAAATTGCTGCTTCCAACGACTATAAACGTCAAAAGGATGACCGAATTCCGACGACGTCATCAGCGGTGCTCATATTTAGAGGAAACCTGTTTAAATGCATAGAAATAACGAGTTTCTTCTGATGGTTCTATTAACTAGATACTAGATGAAGTTTCAGTCAGATGCATTAGAAATATTTTTTCGTGCTAAGTAATTTTAGTAGCAGTAATTTTTTTGGAAAAATATGTTTACTTCTATTTCAATATATAATGAAGGAGAATCTTTCAATTATCAGTGACTCTGAAAAAATATGCAGTGTCGTTTATATACCTGCCCTTAGAATGGCTTCAAGTTAGCAAACGGTAGATGGAAAATATTGAATTCGTTCAAGGATAAATTCGAAAAAAACAGTTGATAGTTATTCCTATTATCATGAAAATGTTTCATATGAGTTAGAAATCTTTCTAAAATTTAAGAACCTTTTCAAGCCATACTTCTATGTAGTTTTCACAAAATATGTCCATTGAGATTAAAAAAACATATGTAGGTATAATTCCTTTTAAATATAAAAACATTATTTTATTTTATATTGAAGTCATTTTGTTAGATAATTGAATTTTTTTTTGTCACAAAAATATACTGTCTGAAATACAATTGAATTGAAATCGTCGCGCCAGATATATTTTATTCATTGAAGGTTAAAAGGATAAAAGGATATGAGATCATTGCCATAAAATACCATATATTTCGGAATTAGTATGAACGTAAGATTACAATAAACCATTAAACAATTTAGTTTCAAAAAAATAATGTTTTTATTGGAAAACGACAAACGTCGCTGGTGACGTCACATGGACGTAAATATGCAGTTGTAAACTGGGCCAACCTTTCGACATATGTAATCTTTAGCAGTTTCTGCTTGTCCAATGATTGAGAGCGAGGGGAAAGGTGAGGTCTAATGAAACCAGAGACAGGATATTGATGATTTGCAGTGCAAAAATTAACAATTAAATATAATTACTATCGCTCGTTTTGTATGTACTCTGCCGTTTGTAGTTGAAAGAGCTCGCGAGGAGAAAGAGGATGTAGATGTGACCTAAAACGAATTTATCAGTTGAAAGAGTGACCCCAATTAAAATTTTATTTTTCACTTTTTTTATTTTCCTCACTTATAATTCAGACATAAGTATTTAAATTTTATTTCGTGCTGCTTCCTGGACATTTTAGATCTTCATTAAATGGGACGTTTTTTGTTATATCAGCTTTTATGATCTCTTTTCTGAGATAACAGCCGAGATATTAAAATGTTTATAAAAATGTGATTATAGAGGTGTTATAACTGAAATTGAAATTACCACAAATCAGATTTTTCGATGAATGAACAGTTTGGAAATGTTAAAAATATTAACTTTCATAATAATATATACCCCAGCCGTAGGCGAAACGTAAGACATAATAATATGTAGAACACTGCCAACAAATCGGTTCGTTATATTAGTTTAATATTGTGTTGCTGAATAGTAGCACATCAAGATTGTTTAAAAAAATCAGTGTAAAATCTGTTTTTCCGTTAAACAGCTGTCGCTCCCATACGAACGACAACTCTCAGAAGTTGAAAAACTTGTGCGAGCTAAGGACTAATGAGGTCTTACCTTTTAACATGTGATTCCTAACACGGAATGTTCTTGCAAACATATACACCTACATGCCTCGTGAAGTGTTGAAGAATTAGAAAAATTCTTCTTGTTTACAAAACTCGAATGGAAAGTGGCTAGATCAATTGATTAAATGAATGTAAATTATTTCTCAAAGATCTGCTTATTGTGGTAACGTAAGAAGAAAATCCCTTGGATTAAATGAAAGCTTTTTTGTGGATATTTTTTTGTTGATTTTTGAGTAATATCTTTGGCAATCCCAAAAAGTTGCTTCACTAAAAAGAGCAATATAAGGAAAACAACAACAGTCAGTCAATTAAGCCTACAACATAATAATAATAACAAGAACAACTATAGGGACTTCCATTAAGTGCTTCCTACCTTCAAATTTAAATAAAACAATGACCTATTTGCCATTATGTGTGGAATAACATCGTTCAAATGTGGAGTGGAGTGATAACGCCGCCTTTCCAAAATCCACACCAAATTGTGAAATTTTTGGGATACATTGGACGCTCTTGGATCTCATCTGGATTGGTATCGTCACAAATTCGACAATTTTGTTTGTTCTGGTACCTTTGATCACGATTTCGTGATCACGCGTAGAGAAATCCTACCAATAATCATAAAAATATGGATAAACCCTTTGTACTTTTTATTATTTATTTATTCAACGGGTAACCCCCAATTTTTATACAATAAATTAACCTTAGAAAGTTAACTATTCTAGTATCTATGTATCTAATAAAACAACCTATATATTTATGATGCACTGTTTGGAACCTTTGGTGTAGTAATGAATATTACTGGAGTTTTTTTCTCAACACCAAATCGTTATTTTTAACACCTCGACACGTGTTTTGATCACCAGGTGATCACACACATTATAATTCACTAATAACAACACTGATCAAGACGCAAGGCCTTCATTATTAATCCATACTCTTCAGGTAATAAAGCACCTAATTGAAACACTTAGGTCAAATCAAATCAATCTGTGTTCCAGAGAAAATTGAAAATATGGAAAGTATTGACAATTCGAATCGAAATTCAAAAATAAAAACAAATTTGGGTGATCAATTAAAAAAAGTATATATTGATTATGACAAAGAACTTTCAGAGGAAAAAATATTCCCCTTGGGACTCCTCAAGGTGGAGTATTGGGTCCTCTGCTGTTTTTACTGTATATCAATGACCTACGTCTCCACATTAACAAAGGGCAGGTCTTCATTTATGCAGATGATTCAACAATTATATTAACTGCTAACGATACATTTGACTTGATGAATGATACACAACTAGTAGTGAAGAACTTCACTCAATGGTGTGAGAGAAATTAACTCATTAATAATATGGAAAAAATGGTCTTTATCCAATTCAGTAGTCCTTGAAAACATTTCAACAACATGAAGTTAAACTTAGGCCACACTGATATCTTAGCATCAAAAAGCACGAAATTCCTTGGTATGTAGCTGAATTACAAATTACCCTTCAACAACCAAATTGATAACATATGAAAAAAACTGAATAAACTGTATTATGCTTTTACTAGTCTCAAATCGAACTTTCACAGAAACCATGTGATTAACATGTATTACGGTCTTGTCTCCACGGCAATCAGCTGTAATTACATGGGGGTAAGTCAACTGAAGTATCATGAGTGTTCATTTTACAAAAAAGATTTATGAGACTCATTTTTAGCATGCATTATAACGAATCTTGTAGAATTACTTTCAAAAAGGAAATATATAGGTTATTAATTTATACATTTAATAATTAAGATAAATTTACAAAAAATAGCGATCTTCACGAGCACGATACTAGATATAAAAATAACATACAAATCAATTCAACAAAACACGGTACACAAAATCTCCCCTTTATGCTGGAGGCTACTTATATAACCTGCTTCCTGAATGCATAAAATTAACAAAAAAAATTTAAATCCTACCTAGAGAATTTTTTGCTCCATCCCTTTTTTTTATTCACTAACTGAATACATTGAGTTGAATATTAGAACTACATCCAATGACCTATAGACAAAATTTGAACACTTAATATGTTTCATATGTACATTTTATTTTATATTTTCAACAAGTTTTGTAAATAGTTGGCATCCAACTCTAGATTTATATTTGTATGTTATATGCTTCATCAATTATTTAATGTTGTTATGTATAAATACCTGACTATTCAAACTATTATATTTATCTTATCTTTAGACTACCATTGGACTTATGTCATGTAAATGATTTATGGAGATTAATAAAATTATCTATCTATTTATCTATTAATGTGACTGTTTTATATTTTTGTCACTCATATACAACTATAAAAAGTCTTTTGAGATTTGTTATATCAAATAATTCAACAGCTTTGAATGTTTAAAATAAATACTAGATTTTTCATTTTCAAATAGCCAATTTTTAAGAAGCAGAAATTTGTTCACTTATTTTTAACAATTCATTCAAAATCATTAATTCCATTTGTGGTATTGTACACTGATAAACAAGTGAATAAATTACAAAAATGGTTTGAATTCTCCATTTGAAATATGAATTCCTAATATACATACAAATTTTAATGATTATTTATTCAAGGAATGTAGAATGATAAAGAATTATGAATGTGATAAAAAGCATTTCAATCATTATAGGTACTACTGAAACTAGATAAATACAATTTAATTTAAGGGGCAAATTCAATCCACAAAGTAAAACATTGAAAACTAATTATGTAAAAACCCTGTTTTCTGAAAATGCGCTGAAAATTATGCCATATTTCAATGTAGAATAATAGGAAACATAAGTAAGACAGCAGAACAGACCTATTTGTAATATATCTTAGCCTATACAGAGCAAAGGAAACAAATGCAAGTTTTTTATGAATAGTAATAATATGAGAGAGAGAGAGAGAGAGAGAGAATATGCTTTATTGTATACATGATAAATCATGGTTACAAAGCTTGAAAATAGTACAAAATAATACATATAAAATATTAAAATCAGTACAAGGTGTGTGTACACACACACACCAACAGACACACACATGCATAGTACATACATTAGAAACACAATAAAGTTCTAAGCCTGAGTCAATTTTTAAAAGAGAGAATTTTTAAAACAATGTCATAGTTGTCATTTATCAAGTATAAATAATTGTCCTTGAAATATAACCATAAATAACCAGGCCGTTCCAAGACTATCCTTGTACATTTATTGGCTGTATATACAGCCAGTCTTCAAGCTCAAGTATGCGGTTGGTTAGTGTCTTGTTTACCAGATGGAGCGATGACAAATTTGTTGTTTGAAGTTTGCACTACCTTGCACTGACGAGAGGCCAAATAGCCTGAAACCAGTCTGCAAGTGTGCCCGTTCCTATAATTGCAAATCGATTCCAGCAGTTGTATCGCAAACAGCATATGCAGGAAATCCTTCTGTGAAGATTTCTGCACTGACACCTGTTGGATATAATCCAACGCTCTTCGTAGTATTAGCCAGGGGAATAGTTGTTTCCTGATAGGTGTCGGTCCATTAACCTACAGTGTAGGCAAGTCGAGACTGGCCTGAACAAATTTTTCTTTAAGTTAATTTCATTTATTGACTGTTCAGAAAACTTAATGATTTGTTTGAATTTCAGAAAAAAACGCTGATCTGGATTCCTCGAACTCAGTACTAGAGGGTGGTGGCGGGGAAACCGCCAGTTATTTGCTAACGCATTTGGAGCAAGAAGACAAGGAGAATGGATCAAACCCAGTGGTGTCTGAAGTCATGAATGTATGTTTCGAATCTGCAAACGTGCTCACCAGCTCGGTGGGCACATCCTCAGCCCCGCCTCACCTCGCGGCGGAAACCAGTATAGCTCAAGCGACCCCCGTGAATCAATCAAATACCGTCGTTACGAATTTCATCCAGCAGCCTGTCGCAGCGAGCGTCATCCAGACAGGTACCGATAAGATCGAACAGGTCCCACCTACCAAGAGCATCGCGAAGATCCTCGTTGCGAATCACTCTCCTTGCAGTGGCGGACCTGTCCTGCAGAAGGTGGTCAATCCACCCCTGATCACCGTTCTGAACCCTTCCGGACCTCTGACGGTCGTTAAAAGTATCTGCGTTACTTCAGGAGTGTCGAGCGCATCGCATTTCACTTTCGTTAATTCCACTCCGTTGACGGTGACGAACGCGTCGGTCAAGTCTCCTACCATTACCCTTCTGAACGCCCCGGTGACTGTTGTCAAGGCCATAACTGCTCAGCAGCAATCTACCGACAAGAGCTCGGGCAGCGAAGCATCTCAGAATGTCCAGAGTTTGTCCGGCTCAGCTCCGCCAGTTCAGAATGTCATTGAGAATAGAGGCCATAATGTGTTTGTCAAAAACACTTCCCCAGACTCGGCAGTTCAGGATATTCCACAAAGCCACAAATTGCTTACGGCCAGCAATTTTCCTCAAACTAATGTGAGTATGAATAAAATTCAAAAGTTGGATTTTGTTTTCATGATCTCCTGCTGGTAGCAGCCCAGAACACGTTCTCATTCACTGGGAAAACGTGTTCTCTTATTACACTATAATTACAATCATTTTGACATTGAATACTGTCATCTCCAATGAGAAACTACAAAACATTATGAATATAAATTTTGAGTTGAAACGCAATTATGTTATATAAAAACACTTGACAGATGATAGAAGTAAAAAAACTGTAAAACTTTCTTGTTGTACATCAATAAATTAGTAAAAACTTTTATGTTTTAAATGCAATGGCAATGGATTCAACTGGCTATACTACTTGACCATGATGTCGCATAGAACTACTATAAACAGAATGACAATGACATTTGAAAACAATTCATTATTACTCATTATATATTTTTTACATTCTTTCTTGAAAATATCAACAATATATATTAGCAAAAGTATGATCATAAACAAAAGTATAATATTCAATAAGGTTGGCGATCCTTTATAGGAGGATAACTGGCAATAGTGTTTAGCAAGCACAGACATTATTTTCAAATGTCATTGTCATTCTGTTTATAGTTCTATGCAACCTCATGGGCAGGTACTATAACCTATAACCAGTTGAATCACATTTACTGGCCATTATAATAAAAATATATAGGTGTTTACTGAAAAATTCAACTAATTTATTGATGTACAAAAAGAAAATTTTACTGTTTTCACTTCTGTAAACACATAATTTTAATATGTTCTGTCAAGTGTTTTTATGTTTGTGTTTATAATGTTTGTTTGTTTGTTGTGTTTATAATGTTTGTTTGTTTGTTGTGTTTATAATGTTTGTTTGTGTTTATAATGTATGTGTTCACAATATTTGCCAATAGGAATTTTTGTTCTTCAGACAATAAAGAATATTTTTTGTCTCTCATTATTGCGTTTCAACCTTCATGACACTGTAAGTAATAACTTCAACTTGTTCTCAACTCAAATTTATATTCATAATGTTTTGTAGTTTCTCCCTGAAGACAATAGTATTCACTGACGAAATGATTGGAATTATAGTGTCACAAAAGTACACATTGTGCTAAAATTCAATGTATACCTATATAATAAGAATAAATTAATATACACATGTATACACACGTACACACATATAAACAAGCATTATGCTTGTTTATATACACTCTATACACTACAAAGAAAAAAATATATATGCAGATCATGTAACCTCAAAAAATTTATCTAATGTATATAAAGTAAGTCTCTGACAAGAATTGCCTTCAAGTTTCTACTGAAAGATAGTAACGAGACACATTCTGTTAAAGTTTCAGTTAGCTCCTTGTACATTTTAACACCATTATTTATAATTGAGTTTTTGATTTGACTATTTTATGAGATAGGAACCTTCAATTGGCGAGCCTGTCTAGTATTTTGGTGAGGCTGAGAAGTGTAGGTAACTTTTTGCTTGTGTATAAGGCATGCCTGATTCAAGAACAAAAAATTAAGTCACAGTTAATGGATCATTTCACTTTGTTCCAAAGAGATATTGTTCCACACGTTTTTGTAAAACGAAAACAGAATGAAAAAGCTGTTTATCGCATACACCCCGAACAATTAATTATTAATAATGATAATCAGCAGTTTCTTCATAGCAGGTCAATAAGTTTAACCTGAGTTTTGAAAGAATATGTGGATGAATCAAATAAGTCGATAACAAAGCTATTCTTATTTGCTAACCTAAGCATTTTAGTAATTGATTCATTCTAACCATGACTATTACTTTATGAAGAAGTCTGAGTAGACTAAATAGGCTGATACAGAGAACTCAACATCAATTACATTACAAAAATTTAGCTTACCAAAAAACAATACAATATTTCAAAAGTGTTCATAGAGAATTTGTCTGTGAATCATTGAACAAATCCCAATAGTTTGAGTACCTTGTATACACTGTGATCAATATGACCTTTCAAGGCTATTTTTTATCAAACAATAGTTCCAAGTCTCTGAAGCTGTTGGTCAACATCATATTAATGTTCGCAGTTTTTGAGAATGTTAATTTGGTAACATTTATTCATATTCAAAAGAAGCGTGTTTGAATCACGCCAACAAGATATGTTTTTTGAGTTTTGCTGTAACAGTTCTGTATAACGAAAGCAAACATCAAATAATAACTGACTTCTGACAAATTGTTTACACAAATGGAGAGTATTGGGCCTGTATGCGATCCTTGAGGAACATCAGATGTTATAGAAATTTGTGATGATATGGAACCAGCATATTGAACAGACTGTATCCTATTCACTAAATAACTTCATCCATTTTAACATGATACCATTGATACCTAATGCTAGGAGCTTAGCCGCAAAAAAATCAATTTTGTTTTTTTAATTATTTGGTTATTTTTATTTTAGTTTGTACTTTGTTTCTTTAATTTTTGAGTTTAGTGTTAAATAAATTGTTGAACTTGATTTTATGAAATGCTATGAATTGAAATATTGAAACTTGAAGACTAAGCCACTAGGTGTCTCCCTTATTCAATCTTTATTTGTTTTTTTCCCAGGTGTTGGCAAGCCAACAAAGTAAAATCCTCAACGGTCAAAGAAACAAGTTGAAGATCATTAGTAATGTAGTAATGCCTGGGAGTTCTCAACTAGGTAACAATATTTTGTTGAACAAAACGAACCAGCAACGGTTTCTCCCGAGGCCGAAACTAATCAGCCCCAATGGCGCTACCGCTAAATATCTGAACAAAACCCCAAACAACCTGATGAAACCCAGTACGAATCACACAGTGAAGCTGTTGCAGGACAAACCCTCGAGCAAGATCGTCTATCCCACTCACAAAAGCCACATCAAAACGCTACCACCAGTGAACAGCTACATGCAGAAGACCCAGCAAGGTGTCAAGACGATTTCACCGCAGCACAAGCCGGTCCCTGGGCAGGTGCAGAGAACTGGTTCGGGACTCAGAACGATCCCGCCGCAGCGGACCCACAAAATGCCAAACAAACCTAATTACATTGGCAAGCATGCCGCGCAGGCCCAGAAAATGAGACAAGGCCACGGAAAGGTAAAGGGTGGGAAAGTTCCTTCGAACGTCCCGTACAACATTCACGCTCCCCCCATGCCAGATAAACTAACAGAATTAACTTTTAATCAGGCTCTGACCGCGCAGATTATCGAAACGTTGAGTAACTCCAGCACACCCATGCCCAGCAGCAGGTACGACATGATGCCGACGAGGTATGACAGCGCCTTCAGCTGTCCCGATGCGAAGCAGGTTCAGTAAGTATACATATATAGATTTACTTGATTTGAATAGGAATTCTAATATAAAAATAACTGAACGGTACATCTAAAGTGAAGCAAAAGTAAAATATTGTTGTAAATCGTGCCCTAAAGAAAATAACGCCGGCCGCCACTGGTAGGCATAAACCAATTGTGACGTAGCTAAGAGCGCGCGAATATACGATGTTCGCTGCCGCTCTAGATGCAGCGAGAATAATGCTACCGATTTCGATGGAATTCCGGCGAAATTTTCTAGCGCAATCGATTACGATATATAAACGCTAGCCACGAGCATTTCGACACAGTCAACAGGGAGTTACATTGCGGTACGTGAAGCGATTGGCGATAGACATTCGTAGAATAGTTGAAGTGTTGTAATTAAGTGAGAGAGATAGCAGAGGTTATGAACATGTCAAAAGAACGTGTTTGTCACATATTAAATCAACATTCGGGCATGAGAAAGCTGTCCGCGTGTTGGGTGCCGCGATTGCTCACGTTAGACCCAAAAGTGTTTGAATGAAAATTTGTAACGTTCTGGCGCAGTTTAGGCGCAATAAAGCCGAGTTTTGGCGCCGATTAATTACTGTAGAGAAACTTGGATACACCATTATACGCCCGAACCAAAAATACAGTCCAAACAGTGGACTACAAAGGGGAAACCTTTGTTGTTTGATTATCTTTAAAAAGGAAAAACCATTACACATCATTACTTTATAAGCTGAAGGCAGAAATTGCAAAAAAATAAATCTTATTTCAGCCAGACAACACACCGTCGCACACCTTAGCGGTTGCCATGGTAAAAATCCGTGAATTACGGTTTGAACTGCTTGACCATCCGCCTTACTCACCAGATCTAGCCCCAAGTGACTTCTTTTTGTTTCCTCTTATGGAAATTGCGTTAGGAGGGCAGAGATTTTCGTTAAATGAACAGACAATCACCTTCATGAACAATTATTTTGACGAGTAAACGCCAAGTACTATTTGTATGTGTTGCAAAGATGGGTGCATCACTAGGAGAAGTGTGTAGAGTTAAAAAATGAAAAAAAAGTGTCGTGTATCTTTTCAGACCACCCTTATATTAACAGATAATATTGAACTGGTTAAAGTCTTTAAAAACAGATAATTCATATTCCTGGCGTTATTGACCCTGCATATATGAGAATCATTTCTATTGCGAGTAAAGTATTCATGAACTTCATTGTTGAATGTAATATAGTCATAGATATGATGGTGCTGATTCATTCACTATTTTGTAAATGAAAATCATTAAAAAATTAAATGAACGTTGAACAACATCAAACCAACCCAATGCATATAAAATATTGCTAATTGGTGTGTAACAATTGCATTGTAAAGTTATTCGCATTCCTCGATTCGGAAGTTTTTGCAGTTGTGCTAATTTATTCAAATTGAAATTATATAAGACTGTTGCGTAATAGTTAAAATGAGGCTGAAAAATACTTCTATAAACGGTTATTCTTATTTCGAGGTAAAGAATAGAAACTGCTTGTGTGAAAAAAGTACAAAACTTTAGAAAAATTTTTACGGTGTATTGCAAATGTCTCGAGGAGAGAATCTTGCAGACAAATTTTCCAAAATGATCACATCTTGACACTTATATCAGTTTATATATTTGAAATATGCATTTACATATTCAAAAACAAAACACATTTGAAAATGAATGAAAATGTTCATCACCATGACAATAGAACAAAAAATAGATTTCATGTGCCATATGCAAGACTAAGAGTGACTTCATACGTATACAATTTTTGTTTATAATTATTCATTTACTTACATAATAGTCTAATTCGCATGAGAATCTGAAAAATCTGAATATAGTCAGAGTCAGAAATGCTTTATTGTCATAAAAGTTTAGGTTTTGTTGACAAAGCAGGCTTAAGAACTAAAACAATCTGAAACATTGACATAAAGGTCAAGAATTTAAAACAAGATATTAATATGGCTCAAGCACACTTCAAAAAGTTTATAGTAAAAGTCTGTGATAAGAAATTTTATATGTTGACAAAACAGGCTTAAGAACTAAGACAATCAGAAACATTAAAATAAAGGTCAATAATTAAAATAAGATATTAATATGGCTCAAGCACACTTCAAAAAGTCTATTGATAAAAGTCTGTGATAAAAAATTTTATAAGTTGGAATTATAAGTTTGCGAAGTTATCCGAAAGAAATTCGTCAATAGTATAATAAGCTTTATCTAGCAGAAGTTATTTTACTCTTTTTGGAAACTGTATCATGTTAACTTACTGATTGAAATGGGGAGATGATTGAAATGTTTTTTGCTATTATAAAGAATCGAATTTTTATTTGTGCTGGGATAGGAAGAGGAATATTGAATGTGAGAATAGACAGTCTGATCTAAATTAAGTGTGGATTATTGATAATTTTGTTATTGGGGATACAAAGTCGTTTTAATTGCGCTAACGCCATTCATAGGTAAAAGAAAAGTCGAAACATACAAATAAATAAAATAACAAAACAGGAAAACATTGGTCAGAGATTGAACCACTTACTTAAACATACATTGCGGACTTGAATAATCCCCCTTTATCGACTTTTGACATGGTATCAAGGTCGGAAGAAAATTACGTAAAACAGTTTCATTTTTAGTAACTTTCGATAAGAAAGACAATGGTGTTGCAGTAGTGTTCAATTCTATTTTCAAAAATTAACAATAAATATCATAATTTCAAAAAAATGTATTCGAAACTCACTCTAGCTCATTTTAATAAATGTTCACCATTCGCTTTCTGACGACAATTATGAATTCTGTTTACAAATTTATTTCCCACATCACATGAAATGTAGGAGTAATTTCGTTGCAAGCACCTCTTTTTCTATTCACGAGTTACGAAAATGAACATCTAGAGACATTATGTCAGGTGATCTAGTGGGCTCTTCTAAGGAATCATGTAACATGATTAGAATAGAAGGTGCTCCTAAAGAAATTACCACAGAAACATTCCGTATTGTAAGAAGTGGAATTTGTATACAAACCTCATTATTGTTGGGAAGCGTTCAACTGTACAAAAATAATTATTGTATGCTTTCGCAATTGAAATGTTTTTTCTGCCAGAAACAGTATTTCATACAATTACCAATTCAAACGGTTTTGTATCTTCAATAAGTTACTATTTATTTTGGATTAGCCGGCCTAGTGGGTCCTTTCTGGTGAATGCATTTTCAATTTTCATAAAAAACATTCCAATTATTTTTTCAGTGATGCGCACAAACAACAGGAGGAGAAGTCCAAGTCCGGTTTAGACGCTTTATCTCTCATATGCCAGGCAGTTCTCTTGGACCACAACTACAACGCCACCCTGCCACCGGATTCTCCGACCAGACCTTCTCCACCATTAAACATATCATCGCAGGTTAACGGAATCTCTGCACCTTCCATTTATTCTCCAGGAACCGTTAAACGTGAGTGAATCATTTTTAATTACTAACGATTGATAGGTAGAGGTACATTTTCATTTATTGTTAATGTTTCAAATGTGATCCTAAAAAAACTTTCAAATAAAAACTAAAGGGGAAAAATGTAATGAGTAGCTGTCAAAAAAAAATGTTGCCATGTAAATTTGAAGATGAAATTTTTAAACTTCAGTATCATTTACTTTTTTTATCTTTATTGCTTTTTCGCATGTTTTGAGATGAATTGATTTCATTTCAAAATTAGATTTAACATTGGAAACAAACAAGGGAATAATAATCTATTGACAATTGTAAAAAACACACTGGGTTTTATTTGCTTTTTGTTTTTATTGTTTTTCTGGAAAAAAAATGAGCTACGAACTTTTTTGTTGAGAATTAACTGAAAGAAATACAAAAAATGTCAGGATTTGTCTCAGAATAATTTCTGATACATTCAAAAGTTGATGAAAAGTAATTTATTCGTGGAATACTTCTAATGAAGATGTAATCACACCTGATAACATAAACACTTTAAAGAATAGACTATAGCAAGAGCCTGGAAAAAAACTTTAATATTGATATATCATCAAGGCAGTATAACCAGTGAAAGCATTTAGATTATCAGAATCATAAAGGTGGGATCTATCTTAACATCTTTATGAAGCTTCGGGTCCATAACTAAATTCAAAGCAAATATATAGGACACAAATTTATACAAATTTGTTGAAAAGTCAAAGTAGTAGTAATAGTTGGTTTAAGCCGATTTTGGAACCTCCCCCACCACGTTTAACCTTGAAACGACCGTCACCTACGCCGCGCGATGTAGTCAAGGTGACTTTGAGGGAGTGTTTTGGGTTTGACCTTGAATAACCTTGACTTATGTCACACGGCGCAGACAAGGTGACTTGGAGGCAGTGTTTTGGGTTTGACTTCGAACGACCTTTGTTGATTCCCTCCTCATATTTTCGAAAAGATGAATATGATCTCGAATGAACTAGAGCGAGTCGCGCGACTGTCTTGAAGTTTTAAGGATTCGCCTTTGAACGTCCTTCAACTGCATAGATGAGGCGGCTTCTAGAGTCATATTCTTGACAAGGTGACTTTAACCTCGAATGAATTTGATCCATGTCTCGCGGCCATTTTGAAGATTTGAGGAATTGAACTTGAACGACCTTCAGTTGCATGAGCGAAGAGGCTTTTGGAGTGCATATTCCTTTGCTGAGGGCGAGGGCGCATACGCAATCTCTTTTCCTCTCCCACTCTTTGAAAGAACGTATAAAAGAGGAGCCACTCACTCACAGGAGTCAATTTGATACCGCATGTACCGAATATCCCTACAAATATGTTTCATTGTCATTGGTGCGGTAAAAGTTTCAGCAGTGAAGATAACATGCATCGTTATCTAATGCAGTCCTGTAGGTCGGATGATGATGCAGGTTCCCAAGCAAAACAACCCAGGGCGGATTATGCCCCACCAAGTACAGTTCAGGAATTGTGCATTTATTTTAATAGGATGAATTCACAACATAACATTGGAGCACAGAATGACATTTTTGTTATAACTGTAAATTACTCCTCAATCAATCAATTTTTTATATATCCTAGCATATTTTTTAAACAAAGGTTATAAATGAGAATCTATTATTAGTTTATCTTTAGTTATGAATACCTCTTTTACGAATGATAGCAATATTTCTCTAGTTCATTTTGTATTTTTACACATTGAAATTTTTGTAGGGCGCCCATTGCCTTCTGCTAATATACTTTCGGCAGCTACGAACCTTTCTAACATTTCTTTGACACCTGGTAATGGCAGCAGCTCTTTGATGAATGTCCAGGACGATGATGCGGCTTCGGATATATCAGACATTTCGGACCGTAAACATGACACCGAAGGAGAGGAAACTGATACAGCTCCCGAGGCAGAAGCAGTAAACAATGATAATTTTGATGGATATGGAGATTATGTCACTAGGTGTATTTGGTAAGAAAACATTAATTTTACTTGAAATAACAAAATATATGATGCAGTTGCCCGATACTTGATGAAAATCCATAACGTTTTCAAATAAAAGTTTACTATGAGATTTTCACGTTTGATATTTTATAAAACCACAATACTTGTTTCGTTAGAGGATACCTAATGTATCACCATATGTTAGATCATTCACATAGAGTAAGAAAATAACTGGACCAAGAATCGAGCCCTGTAGAACCCCACTTGAATTTTTATTAGTCCTGACTGTTTGACTTCGATTCAATAGGCATGATTCTATCCATTTTTCTCCTTTCCATACAGCTAATATGAAAGATCCGATGACACTGAACGCAGCACGTTTTTTGAAGAGCTTTGGTTTTATAAAATTTATACAGTGCACTTCTTTAATGTCTCCCCCCCTTTTATTTTTTGAACGGGTCAACTCATTTGAAATTTGTGATAGTGAAATTAATGCATGAATACTTTAATTTGAAGTGAAATTGACAGATGAAAATTTCAAGATGGCGACTGGGCGCCATCATCTTTTTGAAGCTCCTAACAAATGCTTCACAACCCTAGAATATAATGTCAATATCTTCAACTACTACAAAATGGTGGAACTTTTAATAATTGCCTGAATACATTGACATTTAAGTACACAATACAGTAACAGCCTATCCGATATTTCACGCCGAAATTTTTCGAACACAGTAACGTCAATATCTCTACAAATATTTATTATTCTCTGCCGTATATCCAATATTGAAGCAGGTTCAGTTTCGTACACCTTTTGCTTCAAATAGCCCCATAAAAAAGTCCGAAGGTGTCAAATCTGGCGAGCGGGCTGGCCATTCTGCAGGACCTTGCCGGCCAATCCAACGACCGGGAAAAGTAGGATCTAAATAGTTTCTTACTTGTCTGGAGTAATGTGGTGGTGCTCTATCTTGTTGGAATACAATATCCATATCAAATTCATTAGGATTCGATTCGACGATTTCAGTGATGAGAGGGTCAACAGTAGTTTCCAGCATATTCAAATACAGTTCCCCTGTTGAATTTTGATCAATAAATAGAGGTCCACAATATGGTTTCCCAATATTTCTGCCCAAACGTTAATTTTCTCTGGATATTGGGCATGTGTTTCCTGGAAAACGTGAGGGTTGGTGTCATTCCATTGACGGGAACTTTGTCTGTGAACATTGCCGTTTAAAAAATGCATATTCGTCACTAAAACAAATATTGTTGAGATATGTAGGATGCCTTGCAATGGTTTCCGTCATGATTTTGCAGTATTATGTTCTTTGATCAGGGTCATCTTCAGTTAATTGGTTGAAGAATAGAATTCTTATTGACAAAGCTCCTAAATATAAAAGTACATAAATCCTAACTGCTTAAAATGAGCAGGAAGTCATGATAATTAAATAAAATTAAAAATTATGCTAACCAATATGGATGTTAAAAGTGGATGTACCTTAATGTATATATATACAGTCATGTTACTATAAAATATTTTCACAACAATACAGTAGAATAGATATAAAAACAGTTTTCCCTAATTTATTGGACATTATTTGGACCTTGAAGAAATGCACTGTATATAATTCACGAAGAATATTTGTGCTCGATTTTTTTTAATTGAACACTTTTTCCTTCCAGCGGCTTTCTTCACGATGACGGCTATATGGTTGAATGTGATAGGTGTAAAGTTTGGCAGCACGTCCAGTGCGTCGTTAAAAATAGACAGATTCCCGACGAATACTTGTGCGAAGCTTGCGATCCAACCAAACCAATAGACAGGCAGAAAGCGCGGATGGCTCAGCAGCAGTGGTTGCGCGATAGGCAGTTTGTGGATCCCAAGTTGAGGAAAGATACTAAAATGAAAGAGGCGTTCAAGCCTAAAGAAACTATCAGCGATACTGATTCGTCTGATGGGGAGCATGTTGGTAAGTGTCTATATCCATATTTCTTATCTAATTATTTCATTTCTTGTTTTTTCTTGGGAAAATGTTCTTTTACAGTTTGCTTCTCATTTTATTTGCCACCTTTCTAGTCATTTTTGACGATACTATGATCGAATTTCATAAAATCATACTGGGATGAAACTGGTAAAAGAAATCTGAATTTGGAACACATTGATAAATAAATATATAGTCTTCGTGATTGACTTTTTCGGTGTTGTGAAAATTGGGAACAATGTCTGCCGTGTATGTTGATTTTCCACTCACTGTTAGAAAAACATAAAAACAAAAGATTACTCTCTCAGATCTTCATATTTATGAAACTAGAAATGTGGGATAACTCAGACAGGCAGAATTTAGACTGGAAATGTCATTACGAAATTTTTTGGATGTTAAATTATTTAACAAACTCTCATATAATGTGAATGAATTGAATTTTAATTTGTTCAAAAGAAAAATTAAAGAGGTACCTTATACAAAATTGTTTTTATTCTGTACTTGATTTCATGTCAAAAATTAAATTTCTAGAATGCTAGAATAATGAGGATTGGTTTTTTTTTTAAACATTTCCTTGCTTGATCTCTCGATTTCTCCTTAATGTTCCTAAAAGTTGTACTTCACTGTCTCTGGTTTATTTGTTTCTACTGGCATTCATGGTTTTATCTGAAAGACATTAGCATTTTGTGATACTAAAAATTGATATAGAATCGGTGTCACTATTTTTGTGTTTGAAGACCGTCGATTTTTGAAGTTTCTTCCTGACTTATGTAAACCTCTAAAGAAGCGGCAGCAAAACGTCGGGAAGAAATTCCAAAAACCGACGGACTTCAAACCTGGAAAATAGTGACACTGGAAACCTCGTCCGCGAAAACTTGAACCATTTTGTGAAATAGAATGAGTGTTTTGCTGAACTGACTTTAATTTTGACTTTTTTGTTGAAGCGCATAACAACAATGTTGTAAATAAAAACAGAAGTCTTGCCAGTAGAAGAAAAAGTGATAATCATCAGAAACAGGCGATTTCCAGGCAGAGGAGGGAAGTTCAGAAGGAAGTTGTACAGAGGCGCCAAAAGAGGAAGGAAAGGAAAATAGTTCGTAAGAAGGTAAGAATGAATCAATTCAAAATATGCTTTATTACCCAAGGTCTGAACATCTTATTGGCAAAGTCTAGTAACATGTATATGGGACAATTAACAAATATGAACTATAAAATAATGCTTAGAGACAAGAGCAGAGTGTATGGACAGAACAATATTAAGCCCAGTTGAACAGATACAAATATGAGTACATAAATTAATGAATATTGAGTAAATGTAAATATTTAATGCTACATAATGAACATTAATAGCCATTTCGTGTTGGTTTCAATAACTTGTTTACACAAAGCTACATGCCAATTACTCGAAAGAGCCTTGGTAGAATTCGTCCACACTATAATAGGGCCTCCCAACAAGGAATTCTTTACTTTTTTTCTGAATTTCTTTTCATTATATATTCGCCTTAAATTAATGGGAAGGTGGTTTAATAACTTCTTGCTATTGAAAATACATACTAAGGTCAGAATTTTTTGCTTCACAAATAATGGGCGGGATGAATCCCTGTAGCTAGCCTTGCATAAATATCTAATGGATCTTTTTTGTAGAGAGAATACCATATTGAAACGAAATTTTGCACAATTTCCCCAGAAACATATTCCATAACGTAAATAGGACTCAATTTCTGCAAAATAAACTGATCTTGTGATAGTAGTGTCTAACTGTCTTGCATTTTTACATTTTCGAAGTGTACTTCCCCTATGTTACACCTAAACGTGACCACATTTGTTTTATCGATGTTGAATGATGAAAGATTGGAATCACACCACTCTTTCACCCTTCTTATGTCAATGATGATTTGATCAAGTAAATTGGAGGCGGTATTGCTATGCCAGAGGATATGGTGTCGTCAGCGAAACATGTGAATTTACCGCTTATGTCAACATAGACTAAGTCATTGACATAAATGAGAAACAACCACCGGCCCCAAAACGGAACCTTGTGGAACCCCATTGCCAATGAAATTCCATCTGCCGCCGATGAGAAAATATGTTTGTAATGAAAGTGATCAGCAGTAGTGTAATTTATATTTTTTAATTAAAGTAGTACTTCAACACAGGCCCCTGCATTCATGAGATGAATTATGTGTACTGAGTGATGTTATACTGTAATCTCTCAGGTTGCCGTGCAATAGTTTTCAGAAATACTTATTTGACTTGCATGTAAATTAATTCTTTCAGATAACACCAAAGTATTACTAACACTTTTGTTATTATAGGGGGACAATTTTATGAATTCAAGTACACAGTAATGTAGTTTATTGCTTTTAATAAACTTGTTTTTTAGCAAACTGACAAGTAGGAAACGGCTAGTCTTATATTAACATTGTAGTTTATCATTGATCCTTCAGTTTTTATTTACAAGAGGCTGACAATATTTTGCGATATAAATGAAAAAAGATTTCAATTAGGAATAAAGAAAAATTTATATTAAAATCATATCATAGGAGTTCTCCGTGAAATGATGCCCACACTCTGG